CCACAAACAAGGTAAACAGAATAAGAAGCAAAAGGTGGGTGTGGCTGGATGACCACACTTCTGGTAACATGGGGGTGCGGCCTAATGTGCTAATGAGCTGTGCTGTCAGGGGTGTGGCCCAATATGCTAATGAGTTCCTGCTAGGCTTTTTCTACAAAAAGAGTCCTGTATTTGGCTTCAACACCTTGAAATCTCAGGCAAATAAAAAAGGTCATTGTGACAGTGACACGGCAGGCTAACAAGCTGTGTTTTTAAGACTCTTGTTGTATCGAAACATTTGATTGCAGGAATACAGGTTGTAATCTACCCCTTGCATCCATTCCACGTCCCTGTCCCAGAAAACCGAGCCTGCCCTGCATTCTAAACCAGGGGTCCTTTCGTAGAAAAAGAGGTGCAGGAGCTCATTAGCATAACTCATTTGCATACGCCACACCCCCTGACATCACCGTAAGTGTGTCAGAAGGCAACACCCACTGCTCAGGCTCCACTGGACTGTTTTGGATTGCTAGGTATGGGGTGGGGAACGTGGAGATCTGCCCTCACAGAGGAGGGTGAGCTTGTACCTGAATAAAACTTGGTCTTAAAGGTGCCACTGGACTGTTTTGGACCGGGGGCTGGGGGGGAGGGCTCTGCAACTTACCTGGCTGCTTCTTGCTCTGACTGAGGGCTGCTGGGATCAGGGGGTGGGGCTTGCTGAATTTGCCCGCCCCCTGGGCTCTTTATTGCAGGAGCTCCGCTCCTGTGCGCTCCTGCAGGAAATGACCCCTGTTCTAAACTATCCCCTACTGTGGTACAGTAGGGAATAGTGTTGACAACTCCAGCTTCGGAAATACCTGGAGATTTGAGGGTGAGGCTTGGGGAGGGGAGGGGCCTCAGTTGGGTATAATACCATGCAAGTCTACCTTCCAAAGCAGCCGTGATTTACGTGTCTGGAGATCCGTCATAATTCTGGGAGATTGCCAGCCCCCACCTGGAGGTTGGCAACCCTAGTTGGAAACCCCACCGGGAGGGATTTGGATCAGTTCCACATTGAATCGCACGGAGACCATAAATCCAATCCACACGATCCCATTTCGTTTCCCTTCTGCGTAAATGACAGGAACAGCGAATGGAACAGTCAAGTCCAGTCACTTCTCGGAGAGCTGGAGGAGACACTCGAAGACTGCAGGGCCCAGGAGATACAGCCGATGGAGCTCACAAGGGATTTTTTCAAAGCACACAGGTAGCACCGGGGAGTCTCATCTAAGCACATCAGAAGAGATTGAGAGCCAGTTTGGTGTAGAGGTTAAGTGCGCGGACTCTAATCTGGGAGAACCGGGTTTGATTCCCCACTCCTCCACTTGCACCTGCTGGATGACCTTGGGTCAGTCACAAGCTCTGGCACAGCTGTTCCCGAAAGAGCAGTTTCTGTCAGAGTTCTCTCAGCCCCACCCACCTCACAGGGTGTCTGTTGTGGGGAGGGGAAGGGAAAGGAGTTTGTAAGCCGCTCTGAGACACCTTTGGGTAGTGAAGGGCGGGGTATAAATCCACTCTCCTCCTCCTCCTCCTCCTCCTCCTCCTCCTCCTCCTCC